CTTTCTCTGTGGGGTTTCATGATATAAGAAGCTGGGGCATCAACCTTCTTGACGTAACCTTCAACAGACTTTCCAGCCATCTTGCTGAGTTCAAATTCAGTGAAGAATGGGGTTTCTGGCTTCTTGATGGCAACCTTTACTTGTTGTTCGTATGAAGCGTGCATTCCCTTTTGTGCGTTCTTTGCCTTCTCAGCGGCGTCATAGTACTCCTTGAGTTCATCTCTTCTTGGGTCTCTTGGGCTAAGTCTCAAGCTGGCATATCCGTTCTCGAGTAACGTGATGATGATGTTCTCTTTTCCAAGAATTGGGACAACGAGTCTGATTCCATTGTCCATCTCTTTGACTACCTCGAATTTGACAGTCTTTCCAATCAATCTCTTTCTCAAGACTTGATTAGCTTCGTAGAAGAAGATTTCTTCTTGAACCTTTCCAGTCTCTTTGTCCTTTGACAATCTTGGGACATCGACGTAAGCAAGTGAGAGGATGTTGCTCTCGCCTTCTTTTTTCTGTCCTTGGATAAGAATACCGTTTCTGTCTGAAATAGCATAGACGGTGGCTGTGATGAAGACTTTCTCTTTCTTTTGTTCTTTTTGTTCTTCTTCTTTCTTTTCTCCCTTCTTGGCGTCTTTCTTAGTGTCTTTGGTATCTTTCTTAGCGTGGACGTCCTTCTTGGTGTGCTCAACTGGTTTTGTTTCCTTCTTTGGTGCTTCCTTCTTGGCAACCTCCTTCTTTGGAACTTCCTCTTTTTTGACTGGTTCTTCTTTCTTTGGAACTTCCTTCTTGGTAACTTCTTTCTTAGTAACCTCCTTGGCTACAACTTCCTGTTTCTTCGAGACTCCCTTTTTCGTATTTACTTTAGTAGACATTATGGTGATAAATTTTAGACAGAGTTTACCCTTTTTATTTTTAAAACAGTACTTGTTTTTTATTAATTTTATTATTAACAAATGTAGTTCACCTTCTGGATCTTCGAATAATGTGTTCAAGCTAATATGAAACCATTAAAAGTATTAAACCACACAACTGTGGACGTGGCAACAAGAATTACAAAGTAACCAATCTGATGTGGAAGAGTCTATTTTGAAGCATCTAGTGGTAGAGAGCAACTCAAACAATCCCAAAACAATCACTTCATGTGCATTCTCTTCATCTTTTTCACAAGCCTTCGACTCTTCACACCCACGGAAATTACTGACACGTTTCCATTTCGTTGGATCCTTAACTCTGGATGAGAAACTGGACTAATAGGGTTTATAGTAGGTTCTGGTAAGTAATCGAATGATGGAATTGGGTCTACTTTTTTAGTGCCCCATAACTCAACCAATTTGTGCTTTCGGCGTGTTGGTTGGCTGGGAGCTTTGCCTTGTTTCATACGATTAAGAATCTCTTGCGCATGACGCTCTATCAAAGCAGAATCGTCTTTCTTCGGCTTTTTCTCTTTCTGTAATTTTTGGACAAGTTTTGTGTTTGGAAGTTTGTCTTCAATTAAATCGAATGGGTCTGTTTCAATTGTGTGTTTATCTTTTGGTGTTGAAGAAATTTGTGCCTCGGAAACAACTGGAACCGAAGGCGTTGTTATTACATCGTCAAGAGACTCTTGAATCGAACATACTCTCCTTCGAACACTCATTAATATATAAATTATTCATTTAGAATAACCCTAATTATTGGTATATTAATATTAAGTTTATTATTTTGTTGAATTGAATTGTTTTTATTTATACAATATCTATTATATTTTTTCCTTCATTATAACTTATTCTCCAGTTGATTTTTTAATTAGTTTTCAATTTAAAAATTTAAAAGTTATAATAACAAAGAAACATAAGAAATGAATTAGATTGGAATTGATTAAAAATGGTTGTCAGAGATGAAGAGAATTTGTTACAAAGGAAGTGAAAAATAATACAAAAAGTAGTTTTATTATAATTAATTAAAAATTGTTGTTTGAAAAAAGATACCAAAAGGGATGGTAAGAGTGTTATTTTAATAAAAAAAAGAAGGAAATGATGTAGGGATTTCGAGCACATGAATTGCCATAAGACGCTTCTTTGTGGTCGCATATCCCCAACATGAAATCAATAAAACTCTCAGTCACATAATGTCTCCTGTCACTTTTAGTGTCCACCACGATTCGAGTCTCTTGGGCGAGAGTCTCGGTTTCCAAATCCACCTCTTCCGCCTCTGCCTCCAAATCCGCTGCTTCTGTCACTGCCATTGCGATCACCAAATCCGCCTCTGCCACCACGACCGCCTCTATTCCCAAATCCGCTTCCTCCGCGTGATGAGAATCCGCCTCTTCCTCCTCCTCTGCCGCCACGTGGCGCACCGCCTCTTCGTGGTGGTGGTGGGTTTTTCAATCTCTCTGTTGTGAACAATTTGTCGTCGTACAGGAAGATTGGGTCATCTTGTTTGAATCCATCAGCCTTGACGCCTTCAGCTGGGACAACTGAAAAGTAGTAATCATCAAGTGGCCCAAACACTTCACCAACCTTTCCAAGCTCTTTCTTCGATTCATTGAAAACAATAGCATTGAATGCAGGGTATTTCTCAAGCGATGTTGCTTTGAAAATCAGAATGTTTTCTGCTGAGTGCAAATACTTCCCAAATGGAATAAAAGCACCTTGTGGTGCTTGATCTCTGTTATGGAAATCGCTTCTTCCACCACGTCCACCTCTATTTCCGCCTCTTCCACCTCTGAACGACATCAAATGCTTTTTCTCAACCCTTATCAAAACCTTATTCATTTCCTATTCCTATTCTTTTACTATATTCTTTTATTCGAGTATCTATATATCCTATTACTATATATCTCATTTCTTTATCTATACATCATTAGTACTTCTTATCCTTTATTCAAACTAATTAATATTAGTATATAACTATAACTTTAATTTAATTGTTAATTTAATTAAAAAAATCTAAAAATTGGATTTTATTATTAAAGAATAGATTTTAAAATAATAAAAAGCAAAATAGACCAAATTATGCTTGGAGGTAAAGCTTGAGCCAGTCTTGGACTTGGGCGTGCCAGTCGATTGAGTTGTATGGTCTGAGTACCCAATGATTTTCCTCTGGGTAGACAACCAACTTCGAAGGGATATTCTTTCTCTGTAAAGTAGTAAATTGTTGGTATCCAGCAACAACGTCGATTCTATAATCCGACCCTCCATGAATAGTCAATTGTGGTGTCTTATAATTAGCAACAAAGTTCAGTGGATTCCACTGAGTGTAGTATTGTTTATTTTCATAGTACGGTGCGCCAAATTCGACTTCCAAAAAGTACATTTCGTCCATGTAATAATAACTTCCTTCACTGTCCATAATACCGTCATGGCAAATGATGCATTTGAATCGGTCGTTCTGGCTGTTTATCCAATTCATCATATATCCACCATACGAAGCACCCATAGCACATGCATTATCAATATCTGCACTTGGTTCAAGGGTTGGTAAAGCGTCCATACCTTTCATTAAATCTTCATACGGCATACCACCCCATTGAGTTCGAATAGCCTTCAAGAACGCGTCGCCATAACTTCCCGACCCATGGAAATTTGGTGCAAAGACGATATATCCAAACCCTGCAATGACTTGTGGATTCCATCTATAGTGGAAGTCGTTGGTCCATGGTGACTCCGGTCCACCATGGGTATAGAGGATGACAGGGTACTTCTTTGTCGCATCGAAGTCTGGTGGGTACGTTAAGAACGCGTAGATGTCGTCGTTATTAGCCCCAGTGTATTTTACAGTAGTGTATTGCCCAAATTTGATATCACCCAACAAGTCATCATTCGAGTGTGTGATTTGTAATTTCGAGTCAAAGGCAGTCACATCAATCTTAAAAAGTTCTTGTGGAAGTGTGAAACTGTTATATTCGTAGATCATCGTGTTTCCCGACAACACAAATCCGCCGGCGGTTCCGTCTTGTGTCAACACAATGACGTCATCGATGGTCAAACTGGCTTTGCTCAAGTCGATTTTGACTAAGTTGACATTCCCCTTAATTGAAGTTGAGATGTACATGGTAGTGCCAACCAACTGCATTGGAGCAGTGAATGATAAATCAATCGCGTCAGTCAACGCAACATTTCCATGGTCGGGATCGTAAGAGTAAATAACAGCTCTATCGCTCTCGTCCTTTGGAGCAGTCATAGCAAGATAATACACCGTCATTCCATCATCAGAGAATATTGGTTGGTTATCAAATCCGATGTTTTGCGTGATAACAGTCCACTCAGTCGGTGCGTCGAACTGTGCCAAGTAAATTTGGTTGTTCAGAGATGAAGCTGGATTTTCGAGTAGAATAGAGAAGGTGATCTTTTGTCCATCCTTTGAAATGTCGTATTCCTCATTTCCGCCAAATGGTCGAGCCGGACAGTCAAACTCGACTGTGTTCATGATGTCAGTGAACGTGAATTTGTTATCTTCGCCTTGTGTGAAAGTGAACAAATGTTGGAACTGCCCATCCCAATAAGTGTCCCACCGTCTGATCATCAATTTGTCGTACACTCGGTAGTTTTGTTTCTCTAACTCTTCAAATTTGGCAGCAGACTCTTCAAGTGTCATTGATGGGAAAACAGTCATCGAAGCAAGTCCTCTTAATTTACCATCGACTTCAATCATTTTAAACGTGTCAACTGAAATAGGAGTGTCAGTCGTTAAGTCGGTGATGCTGTTATCGTCTTCCAATTTGGCAATATAACCATTGTGAAGGAAATACACTCCGCTGTCTAAGCACACAAAGTTTGAGTACGAGTCCTCGGCATAATCTCTCACTACAACTTCTTTGTTTGTGTCAAGATTCATCTTGAAGAGAGCTCTCTTTGTTAAATTGTCGACATCAGACCATTGGCTTCGGGTGTAATAAACATCAGCGTTCTTTTGGCATCCAAGAGACAACCGGCGAAGTCTAACAAGGGTGTCTGCGTCCAGTGGTTTTGAAAGGACAGCTAGGAAAAGGAGGAAGAACTGGAACATTTGATTTTGTAGTTCTCAAGCTTTTTGAAAATTTGGAGAACAAAGAAACTTTTTTATTACAGTTGTTCTTATTTATTCCTGCTCTTTCTGCTTATTTACACTTATCTTCTTTTAATTCTTTTTCTTATTTTTTAAATGTATACTATTAGTTTGTATTATTATTAATTATACTATTTTCAAATTAAAAAAACTATCTTATAATATAATAGTTTTCTTTATTATAATTTTTGGTTATGGTTGATAAAATAATAATAGTAAAAATAATGAGAATTGAATATAAATAATATTATAAAATTAGTTGTAACAAAACAAAAAGAATTTTATAAACTTATTCATAAGAAATAGTTTATTTAACAAGTTAATATAAAAGGAACAAATTAACTGTTAATAGTAAATAAATTAACGTACAAACTATATTTTTTGTCAGTAGTTTAATGCATCAAATATTAGTCCAATTAAAAGCATAAAGTTGAATAATAGAGTTTATTGTGAAAATAATACAATCAAAACCCCCCAAAATAGAGGCTTAATACCTGTCAATTACAAATTAAAAAAGAAGTTGTACAAAGCAAACTGAATAATATTATGAGTGATGATCTTTTGAAGAAACAGAGATCAATACAACCAAATTCACATCCTCCAAATTCGACACATAAAGATATACGTAATGAAACAATTTCTTCTCCACAAAAACAGACTCGGCCATCACACACACCTTCACCAAGTTGTGTCACCCCATCTTCATTAATGCTCCAACAAAAAATCGACGAAGCTAAGGGAAAAGTTATAACTGTAGACGAACCATCTGTGCTCAACGACGAAACTTTTAACGACGCTCATTACACCGCAGACGACGATTATGTCAAAGAAGAAAAACCAAGAAAGGTGCTCAACCCGGCAAAGAAGACGAAAAAAACAAAACAATCGAAAAAGGCAACAAAGTCCGACAAAGTTGATCTTTCACCTCAACAACAGCAACCACAACTCGACGCCAAAATCGAAATTTCAGTAACAGAGAATGTGAATTCATCAAGCGAAAAAGATATATTAAAAGACGAACAATTCAATGACGCACATTATGCTCCCGATGACGACAAAATTGTGCCTGAAATCAAAACTAAGCGGAAAGCACTGAACCCACCAAAGAAGAAAAAGGTGGTTGAAAAGGTCGGAAAGGATGAAAAGAAGAGTTCTGTCATACCAACAGATTTTACAAAAACAGAAAAGAATGTTGTCAATTCAACAATCAAAGAACCAATAGATAAATGTTCAGAAGAACATAAAACAACTCGAAAACCACTCAATTTGAAGTTCGCGACAAAGAAGAAGTCCGCGGAGTCTTCTCTTTCTGTTGAACCAATTAATGAAAGTGTTCCAAAACACTCAGAAGAGACAAAAGTGGTATTACCCACACCGGAAAAGATCTCTATGGACGATAAAAACATATTAATCGACGAAAATTTCAATAACGCACACCAACCAACTACAGATGACACTTATGGAAAAGGCACGGAAAAGACAACACGAAAAACGTTGAATCCAAAGAAAGCCTCAAGACGCCTTAGCAACAAAAACATCGACGACAATACAAAAATGACAGCTTCGGAGTCGGGGAGAAGAAAGTCGATCAAAAGAGTGGACACCGGCAAAGATAAACCCGTCAGTAAATTGCGCATGTACAAGGACAACGGCTCGAAGACGGAAAATGTCACAAGCGACTCTTCAGACACCGGCGAAAACTCGCCATTAGCAAGGCGAACCGTTTCGCCAAGAGGAATGAATGGGTCGTCACATATGTCTACCGTGTCGATGGCTAATCTTCCCCATGACACTCATCAAATCTTCGCGTCGAGTGCCGAAACTCCATTTTTGGACGATGGCGAGAAAAGCCCCAAAAATCGGTCCCGGTCTCCGTCAACACATGAAGGTGAAGACCCGATGGTAACCAAAGTTTTAATTATACAAGAAGAAGACAGAAAGTTGGTTTTTAACATTGCGGACACGATCGGACGAGGTGCGTTTGGAGAAGTGTTAAAAGGCATGAATGCGGACTCTGGGGAGTTTGTAGCAATCAAACAGATGAAAGTGAACAAGAAAAGTGTGTTAAAAGAGGTTGCTGAAGAAATCAAGTTACTTCGATTTCTCGAGAATGATTATATTGTGAGATACATTGCATCTACACAGAGCCATGGATGCTTATATATTGTGATGGAATTTATGGAGTCTGGTTCATTGTTAAACATTGTGAAACAATTCAAACAACTGAATGAAGTGTTGTCTGCCAAATATATATACCAAGTGTTGATAGGGTTAGAGTATATTCATGGACAAGGAATAGTCCATCGTGATATTAAAGCAGCAAATATATTGGTAGCAAAAGACGGGAGAGTAAAAATAGCCGATTTTGGTGTGTCGATTCAAACAAGCGATTTATCAAATGGGAACAGCGAAGACCCGATTGGAACACCAAATTGGATGAGTCCTGAAGTGATTCAAATGCAAGGAACTACTATTAAAGCAGACATTTGGGCCCTTGGGTGTACCGTTATCGAACTTATAACAGGGAATGCACCATATTCTGACTTGAATCCAACTGCCGCGTTATATAGAATTGTATCTGACGAACACCCACCATTTCCTCCATCTGTTTCACCTTATTTACGCCAATTTTTGTTGGCATGTTTTGACAGAGATATAAACCTTCGGAAGACTGCAAAGGAACTCAAGTCGTTCAAATGGATAACACAGAACTGTAACGAGAAGAAGGCAGTTACTACAAAGAAGAAGGTTGTCAAAAAGAAAGTCGAAATTGTACCACAAAAGAAAGACGACGAAGACTGGGGAAACGATTTTGCAACCGAAGGAGAAGACGACATTCTGAAAAACATCCCGCTCGTTGGTTCACAAAGAAAATTGAAACCCGTCTCATTTGATAGCGACTTCACATTCTCACCAGCACACTCAAAAAAGGCAACACCAAACGATAATTGGGATGACGCATTTATTTCGACGCCGGTCACTAAATCAGAGAAAATCGACAACAAAGACAAAGTCGACATTTTCGAGAAACTCGAGAAAAGCCAACAAATTGAAAAAGTCGAAAAATCAGGAAATGAAAAATTGAAAGTGTCAATTTCTGAGTCTCCACAAAAAGTCACAAAACTTTCGCTAGCACCAATTAAAGTTGTCGAAGAGTCGGATTGGGACGGCGACTTTGCTATGGACTCTCCATCACAACCAAAAGTGACACTAAACACGCCAACTAAAGAAACGCACCACGCAGATAAAGCAGAAAAGAAGTTTAGTCAAAGTTTGAACACAAGTAAAGGCGATGATGACTGGGGAGATCTACTAGACTTCCCTGCCGACGATGGGAAACAAACACCAATCTTCCTTCGACCTGCAAATTCACCAGAAAAGAAGCCAATCGCATTTTCACCACTTCAAAATTGCGTTGAAGACTACGACTCGGACTTTGCGGAGGCTGACGACAAACCAACCAATTCAGTGAGCGCAATGGAAAGTATTGAAGCAATGGAATGCTTTGAACTTGAGACGACGAATCAAGTCAGTCAAATGAAGTCGAAATACAGAGAGCTGATATTGGAGTCGATTGAGGTATTGAATTCTGGAGCAAAAGATGTAGTAAATAAGATGAAAAGGATGATGAATGAGATCAATACGGTGTGTCAGGACGATCAATTTTCTGATATTGACACGACGATTTCGGAGTGTGGTGTGTTCCCAATTTTGAGTGTACTTGAGCAAGAAGAGTTTGATGCAAGTCCGGAGTTACGGTTAGAAGCCATTAAAGTGATTAATGTGATCATGGACAAATGTGTATGTCCCACTGACAAAAACATCGAAGGTTGTAGTCCACAAGACAATTGTTCCAAAGCACGTGAACTCATTTTGATGACTGGTGGTGCTACAGTAGTGAATTACTGCATTTCAATGGCCAAACATGATTTACATTTAGTTGAAATAGTGAAGTTCTTGAAGAATGTCTTTGGGGATGTTGGCAACAAGTTTTTGATACCCAATTTGTTCATTAATTGTGGGGGTCTAAGTATCATTTCACAAATATTAAGTCCGAAAATAGAAGTGAAAGATACCCTTATAGACGAAGTTTTGAAGACCGTCTACTCTTTTGTAGAAAAGCAGGCAAATGACGTCAGCAGTAAGAAAAGTATGTGTCCAAAGAATATTTTGATTCTCATGTTTTTACAAGATAAAGTCATGGACGCGATCATTCAATATGCGTGCAGAATGTTTCTGAACAAGAATTACGAAGGCTCGTTGGATGGATTTCGTATTGTCAACCAACTCATTTCTTCAAATTTGATTTCGGACTTGCAGATCAAAGCAGAAATGTGTCAGCGAGTGATCACAAACAACGTGTTTGGGCTACTCAAAAAGTTGGACTCTTCGAAAGATGCAAACTTTGTGCAAGAAGAAATTCTGTTCAACATCTGCAAATTGTGCAAAAACTTGCTCACTAAAATCCGCCCAGAAAACTTCGAGAGTCTATTGAATGCAAAGATAGTGCCATTCTTAGTGAAATTGATGTCAAAGTGTGATAGTTTAGATAACCCAATTGAGAGAGATAAACCACATTTGACTGACATGATGAAGACGGGGTTGATCAACAACATGTTCCAGTGTATTTGGCTTTGTTTGTCTTTCAGTGGCAAAAATTTGGCACAGAGTGTATTCAAGGATATGATGCTGTTCACGTCTACATTTACACTGTTGCGCAGTTATTGTGAAGTGTCGTTGAAAGCGTCAAAAAGTGTTGAAAATGATACTGTGAAGATCATTATTATTATGGCAACTATGCTCAACTCACACTATAAAACATGTGACTTCATCACTGGGGAGGCCTCATTGTTCTTGATCAAGTACTTTGCAGATGGAAAACATCAATTTATGGAAAACACATTCAACGCGTGCATCGCTATGTATCTCTCCAACCCTAAAAAGGTGATGAAGACATTCACAAGCGAGGACTTCATGAAGAACTTAATGAACGCACTGAAGAACGCAAATTATGATGATCAGGTGTGTGTGAACGAGTTACTCAAATTCAAGACGTTGACGGAATACACCGAAGTTGCTCAAAACTTTGCACAAAGCTTTTTGTTACTCGACTTAGTCAAACTCCTTCGCGATGTGACTACCAACAACCGCGAAGTGAAAATCAACTTGTTGAAAATCGTAAAGTCACTGTTGCAAGCGCACCCCGAGAAGAAAAGGTTGGTTGGCAACGTCGAGCTGTTAGCTGCAATGAAGCAAGTGTATGAAAACGGAGTGAAGGAAAATATGGTGACTGTTCGTGAAGGATCCGAAGAGTGTATTAAAATGTTAACAACAGTCCAATTGGAGAGTAAGCCCGTCACAAGCATCCGTTCCAAATTTTTTGAAAAGAAGACAAGCTCCGCACACAAGCGGTCTGCTTCTTCATATACCAACAAAGACATTAAAAGCTTTGAAAATGATACAAAGCCAATACCATTGAGTCAATTTGTCAATACCCCACAATCAAAGAGTGATTCTATAAGAGTGGAAGCACCAAATTCACCGCGGACGCCCGGAAGAAGTATTCCAATTAAAAGTAAAGGCGGGAGAAGCTCGTTGTCTAAAGGGGAAACGATAGACAATGACAAGAAAGATAAGAAGGATGGGAGCTCGAGTCCTCAAAGTGAAACACCGAAGGAAAAGAAGAGAGGGATGTTTTCTTTCATGAAGAAGTAAACAGATTGGAATGCTAATATAACTGTTTTATGTTCCTTTGGTTATGGAGTTCGGTGTTTTCAAACGACTTGTTGTGCTCACCGAATAACAAAATGAATGCAAAAAGTGGATGGAACTCTTCTGTTCTTATTTGTTGAGTTTGGTTTAGATTCATTGGACATAACCACAGTTTAATAGTAAAATAAACTAAAAAGTGTAGTATTTTGCATCACCGAATAAAAATAAAAAACAAGATATCAAGACTTTTCAATGGAAATAGATCAACGACTTTGAATGATTATGGAATAATAGAAACTGAAAACACAAAAAAACGGGGATGATCATGAATCCCGTAATCCTTACACTCTTTCTCTTTTCTTTGGCTCTCCAAGACGCAAGAGAGAAAGACACAGACTCTGACCCACCTCTTGAATGTTTGTGTAACAATGGATACCACTGTGACGAAAATGGGATATGTGTAATGGATTGTTTATTTCCTTCGTGTGTTGGGGGCTGCATATCTCCTAATGAATGTGGAGTGTGTGATGGAGAGGGAATTGAAAGTGATTGTAATAAATGCAAGAGTGGGTACTCGTGGGGTGGATATGGGATATGTGTACCAACACCAAAGAAAACATCGTGTGTTGGTGGCGTCAAAGAAGGAAAAGAAATTGTTTTTCAGCGAAAAGAAAACGGTACAAATGTGGTAAAGGAAATCATCACAATAGAAAACATTGTATATAGTGAAAATATATGCTCTAAAGTCGTGGATCCAAGAGATCCAGGAGCGTATGGAGGTTGGGTTCAATTAAGTAGTGATATATCGGGATATGTAAGTGTAAGTACGAGAGGATACAACGAAGATACAATTGAACATAAAGACTTTTTGAAACAAGTTGAGAGTGACGATTTGTTCTTTGCAACACAGAAAAGTTGTCAAGAAGAAGTGAGTGAATCCTGTTTCTTATTTAGTGCTGGGACAAGCAAATATATTCATTCTCCACATCTTGTTTTTTACTTAACACAAACACCTCTATACTTATTTGTCCACCACGCCTTTGGTGAATCGTTTAACTCGAGTTTTCCATTGTATGTTGAACAAACGGAACATCCATGTCTTTCATTTTCACAACTCATAACACTTCCAGAAGATTTAAATGTTGTAAAACATGAAATAGATTTTAACAACTTCGTGTTTAGTTCGTCGTCGTGCATCTCCAATCCAATCAACACAAAGTGGTTCAGAGTTGTTCCTTCGTTTCACACAATATTGTTAAGTCTTTGCGAATCAAGTTTCACTGGAGATTTATCAATTCAAGTGATTCGCTCAAATTTCAACTCTTCAACAGTTAAGTCGTGCGATTACGAAAACAGCAAATGTGTTTCATACGTTTCTGGTAATTGTGGTACCAAGTTCAAATATTCAAAAATGATTTTACCGGCATCAGAAAGTGACATCACATATTACGTTGGCATTGTATCACATTCAACTGTTTCAGTTGGACAAATTGTGTTATCCACAAGTTTGACATGTGTTTCGAATTGCAACAATCATGGTATTTGCAGTTCATATATGGGAAGTTGTGTGTGCGAAGACAAATACGTTTTACGCCAAGGCACGTGCACGATGTGTGGCAACGGTCAAATTGATCCGTTTGAAGAGTGCGACAACTCGGTTTTTCCAGACCCCAACTGTGGAGAATACACATGTCTCTGTAACTCTGGACGCGTTCCCAAAAACTTCACGAGTGGCATTTACTGTGTTATTCCCACTTGTGGTAATGGACAAATCGACGAAGGTGAAGAGGTTTGTTAGTTTTAATTAACAGTCGTCATTGATTCTAAATGAACTGACAATAAGTGTGATGGAGGGGACAACTGTTTTGCGTGTCGTTGTGTGAACAACACGCACAATTATGCGAACCCGCAGAAGGGGTGTTTGACAAATAGTTGTGGGAACAACATATTAGACGATGGAGAGGAAGTTTGTTTTAGCAATGATAAGGTTTAAAAATATTGATAATACTCAAATCAAGTGTGATGGTGGAACTGGTTGTTACGAGTGTCAGTGTCAAACTGGATACATTTTCCACAACAACACGTCATGTCGAGAGTCGAGTTTTGTAGCCAATTTGGTCATCTATTTTGTTGTTTCAATTGTGATTTATTATATTTTGTATGGAACAATATTGTTGTTTATACTGATTGGTGACAGACAATTGAAGAAAGCAATCCGAAAAGATTTGAAAGAGTGTGAAATACTGCAAAACATCACTGGATGTGGGTCAATTCCTTTTGTCAAAACAAATGCAGCGAGGGTGGCGATAGACAGGTGCCCATTCTTTCACTTTTCTGATAGTGTGTTGGATTATTTGGACCAAGGAAAAATCGACTTGAATAAGAAGTACCACTTTTGTTTTACTCTCAGAAACACAACGAGAACTGTAATGCTTTACACGTTCCACAGCAGAGACAATTCAAAGTACCAAATAACTTTTGAGCCGTTTGTTGGCATTTTGCGTTCAAACGAAGTCGTGACTGTTAAAGCTTCGTTGGTGATGTTTTGCACTTCGAATTTGAACGAAAAAGTGCACGTCACTTTCAAGTATGGAAAGATACACACAGCCGTTGTCGAAATCAGTAGAATTTTTGATATTCAAAAGAACGAAAAATGCGATAATGAAAATGAGGTATTCAGTGCGTCGAGTGAAGAAAATAACAGAAACAGTTTTTCCGCACTTGTCCCCAACAAAGACAAGCCTCCCAATCCCAAAGAAGAGATGTACGTTGTCATGAAACTCCGTGCCGAGAGTAAGTTGTCGACAAAACTTGATTTCGACGAAATTGAAATTAAACAACCCCCTGTGGGGAAAGGGAGTTTTGGGTTAGTTTATCGTGGGTATTGGCGTGGGTTAGAGGTTGCTGTCAAAATGCTCAAAAGCGATATGTTTGACACGGAAGCTTTACTTCCGAGTTTTCAAGAAGAGTGCAATTTGATGGAACGCATGCGTTGTCCCTACATATTAGGTTTTATAGGAAGTGTGACCATGCCGGACCAACTTTGTGTTATCACTGAATTTTGTCCATTGTTCTCTCTGCGAAAGTATATGAAAACAAATTACATGACAAAAATCTTTAAGGTGAAAGTGTGTTTGGACATATCGAAAGGGATGGAATACCTTCATTTAAATAATATAGTCCATCGCGACCTTAAAAGTGACAATGTCTTAATGGTCTCCAATAATCCAAATGAAGCAGTTACTGTCAAGATATCCGATTTTGGTACCTCTACACTATTTGTGGACACAAAGAGCGCAAAGAAGATTGTCGACGTTGGCACCCCAATGTATATGGCACCGGAGGTGCACGACAAAAGTCTCGGAAATGCCAGTTTCAAATGCGACGTGTTTTCCTTTGCGATTTGTCTGTTGGAGATATGGCTGACAAAGTCTCCATACGACCCAGAGGTGTTTGTAACACAAACAAGTATTCAAGACTTTGTGATGAGCGGGAAACGACCACTAATACCCAAAGATTGCGTCTATAGAAGACTGATAAGAAAGTGTTGGGCTCACAAACCCAAGAACCGCCCGGCATTTCCGGAGATAACAGCAGAATTGGAAAGTACATGCCAGAAGGTAATTGCTTCAAATATGAGAAAACGTCAAAACACAATCACCGTATTACAGCCGTTCAAAGAGAACTCACAAAAAGCAAATGATCTTGCTATTTTACAAACACCAAGAGTCTTCACATTCAATCCAAACTCCCAACAAACAGAAGGAGATGGGCTTGTTATTACAAACCTGACATCAAATCATCCTCCTAAAGAAAGTGTTCCACATTGTAGAGAAGAAAATTTGAAGTCTTCACCGTCTACCCCAAGAACACCAAATCAAGAATACTCTGTTGTTGAAATGAATTCACCACAATTCACTCCAAGATCAGCTAAAGACACTCCAGTCGATGCTTCCACGTCATACACACCAAGAAGAATGGATCGGAAAAACGATGAAGAGAACACATTGTCAAAAGACGAGAACTCGTATTCTGATGTTGATGACTACTTAGTAAAAGAAGAAAAAGACGTGAAACCAAGTGAAAACCAAGTTCCTCCAATCCAACCAAAAACACCCCGATACAGCGTACGCAAAATTGAAAGAGAGAAATTATCAATGGACCTTTCAAATATTAAATGTAGTGACAGTTCTGAATATATTGGTAAAGTTGTGTTGCAAAACAAAGGTGTAAGCGAGCGCGAGAAACACAAACCAGAGATCAAAATTGTCATCACACAAAAGACAAGACAAGTTAATGCCCCACAAATCATCGAGACATACAAGCGAAATATCCACGACGATATAGATAACGCATCGAAATAATGTTAATAGAATATTATTATGTTTATTGAGGTCTTCTTACTCTCCGATTGACATAAGACAAATTGAATTAATAAGTTACTTTGAACACTCAATTTGGCATTTTTACAAACGAGTCATCAGAGTAGTTCAATGAGTTTTCTTGTTTACTTTTGAGCGAACCGCCGTGTGGCATCGAGAAGTTGAGACCGGCAGCTTCTCTGTGGAGTGGTGGTTTGTTGTTATTAGGCGTCGCTTCTGGTCTCATTAAATAACAATTTTTATTCGGCGTTTTTTGGTTCATAGCGATTGGTGTTGTGTTGAAGTAATTACTTTGTGAAAATTGTGTATATGGTTGTGTGTAAAGTGGAGGGGGTGGTTGTTGGAAATCAAGTATCTTTGGTTGGTATCTTTGAGAGTCGCTTGTTGTTGGATAGTAGTTTGGAACAACACGTTGATTTATTCCGGGTTCTTGTAAACAATTCATGCCAACTGATTGTCGAGTTATGTCATTGTGTTGTGTATCTCCAAATGTGTTTTTGTTTGGGGATTGAATGTAATTGGAAGCACTTGGTGCTTGAAAGTGTTCGATGAATGATGTGTTGTAGTCTGAAGGTATATATGTCTTTCGTCGTGGGGGGTCTTGTTTGTACGAAAAGGACGTAATGATTGGTTGGTCGTATCTGTACATTTCCTCTTGTTTCTTTATATGTTTCACAAGATATATAATGATTAAAGTGGTGATTGCAATGATCGCAATGAGTAAAAAATCCATTAACTTGATTTTTCAAGTTTCCAAACTATTATTTAGATATTTTGAATTACATCATTATTTTTGAAAAACACTTATTAAAAAACATTTTCTATTTCTGAAAATGTTTTTAAATAAATTCTGAAAATTAATTCATTAAACTACAATTTACCATTTATTTTATTATTAATTAATAGTTTGTATTTTGAGAAATGGTATCTTAGAATGAAAATCAAAAATGTATACAATCAATGAAAGAAAGCAGAAAGCATAGACTCTGGCGTCAACACCTTATTGCCACACAACAAAACTGGAAATGTGTCATGACTCTTCGACCATGAATACACCGCCTTTTCTTCAACAAGAGAAACCCCACCTTCTATCCACACCACCATCTTCTTTGTTTGTTTAATACTACCTTTGACCGTCTGAAACGGAAGTACTAGCTCTTCTGTTCCTTTTATGTAATTGAATACATTATCGAGGATCTTCACAATACCAGGAACATATGCACTGTTGTACAATCCATAGAAATTATATAACCTTTTTTTGTCAAAAAGCCCATTACACCTCAAATTTTTGGGAAAAACAGCGTCTACCATTTTACTATATTTTAGATTCTGTGTGTCGTCTCTAATAGCCTCCATGACTTCCATTATTTCGTTCTTTTTCCCTAATGGAGTTGTGAAATGCATTTTAAAATAACTGGCAAATTCCTCTGCGTTGTGGTACTTCTCAGTCATCTTCTTCATGACATTATTTGTGACTTCGAGAAGACAAGTGATTTCTTCGATCTTTTTATCGACCTTTTTCTTCTGGTAACTAAGTTCGTTTAAAACAATTGTGGAACCTCCTTTGACAACATTTTCAGTCATTTTTCTTTTTATTTCATTGGAGAGTGTTGTATGTTCATCGGCGACCTTCCTCAAAAAGTCGTTTGCGGTGGATTGGTCCATTTCATACACCTCTTTTGTATAATTAGCAAAGATGACAACACCATTGCACCACACATGGGTATCGTTCAGAATGCCATACTCCACTGCTTGCCCATAAACACCGATGTTTGGCAGAAATGGCGTGTATGGGTCAAATCCACGATCCAATATAAGAAGAAGTGTCTCGTCGCTTTCTTCTTGTGTATTTCCACATATTTGAATCGCAATGTTCTTTGCTTTTTCACTGAATTTTTGATACACGATCGTCGGACGCGCGTTTTGATACTTCAAATAACTAATAATTCCCTTCGAAGACGGAAATTGTGTTGTGAATAAATTTGGTGTTTCAGGTTTCCAAGCAAGGGGAATTACTTTGAGAGAATCAACCACTTCAAAAATGTCAGCCGTCCCGATCATTTCGATAATGTGGTCCGAGACTTCTTCGACGAAATCTAACAATTACTCTCTTTATAATAAATTAAAAAGGTTTACAACAAACAAATGTAATAGGAATGGTACGATGGATGTTGCAGATGTGAAATAAGTGTTTCCAGTGTTTTCGATTGAGTGGAAATGATGTAAATGGCATCTGCATATGATCTGTCATTATATCCTTCTTTTTGTAAAGTAGTTGTCATTACATTATAAGTGACTTTCGACTTCTTGTTTACAAACCACATGATCTTCGACTTCTTGTCAATTGTTTGGATTATTAAAATGTCGAGATACAAACTGTCACATCATCAACAACTAGAAATTTCATCAACGTTTTGTCTTTTGTCTCAAACAAAGAACAGACAAACTCTGACAACTTTTCAATGTCCATTTGGTTTTCTTAGTTCTTTGTGTTTCACTCAAATAAGTTTGTTAAAATCATTCCACTGTAAACAATATAAATAAACATTTACAATTAATATCCTCTTCATAACTCGATGGGATCTTCTTTGTTTTCTTCAACTGATTTCTCGGTGTCATTTTTCTTGACATTTTCAGAAAGCATGACACTCTTCTCAACTGCCACTAACTCACTAGAATTTTCATTTATTTCTTCCATTTCAATTTCAGTTTCATTTGTCCCATCATCAGATGTTATTCTTTCATTCTTGTAATTGTTCCTATCGAACCTTTTGATAAGAAAAAGAGTCACTACGTAGAGTAGAAGCAATATGATTGCGTGCCCAATTAAACCTGCAATCAAAGGCTTTTCTTCTTCAATTAAGTTGTAACACGCATTTACTTTCAATTGTTTCGCAAGTGAATTGACATTGTCACAACTCAACATGGGGAGCACCTTTTCGCTGATGATATAAACAACATCAGCAAGAATGGTTGAGACATCAACCAACAGTTCGATTGTCGCAGAAGTTGACTTTAAAGGATCAACACAGTTGTTCATACACCATTTGACTGAATAATTTCCTTTCCAATCGCAGACAATATTCGTCTGTGTAAAATCATGTAAATTGGCGACTCCCCAAACACTATTTTCACACCTTACTGTATCAAAGTTGTTATTCGTTTTCTTCAAAAAGTAGAATTTGAAATTTGAAATTGAGATGTTATTGAGTGTCTTAATCACATCACTGATTGTTGCAGTCTCGTACCCTGGGAGTGGCGGACAATTCACAAAACTTTCCATATTTGCTGTTTTATTCACTTTTTTGACACACAATGTGTTGTTCAATACACCAGTACATTTGTTATAATTTTCGCCATCAAATCGCGTTATTTTAGTTGAATTTTGGATACCCTCTATACATATCTGATTATACATCTCCAATGTGTCTTTTACAATAACCTTTTGTACTCGTTGAATTTCATCAAACAGTTTGTCCAGTTCCGAGTTTTGACAATCACTAAAGATGTTGATTAGGTTGTCTAAGAAGTTAAGTTCAGTCTTATTCGTGTTCACCGTCTTGTTGTATTCGTTTATTGAGAATACGCACAAGTCTGAAACTAAAGTCACTGCGGGGTACTCTACTGCAACGTACGACATTGAAATACACGCAAAAATAACAGCAAATGGAAAAATGACAGCCACAAAGAAGTGTAATCGAAAAAACGCGCCAAAGAAGTACAAGAAGAGTGGTACTACTGTTATAATTAAAGTAAAGTCCACTATAATTTCTCTAAACGAAACCCCCCAATCAACAAATTTGTGGATGTGACTCACAAAAGTGTTAACACTATTAATGGTGTTATCAACTTTGCCAACAGCCTCAAGAGTCTCATTTAACACAGCGGGATCAAACGACGTTATATTTTTAAATGGAGTTAAATCGATTCTATTTAATACTGAATAACACTCATGATACACATCTACAACATAATCAAATGAGTCAAAGAATATATGTGAAATGTTGTCAAGTGCAGCCCCAAACCCTTTATTGCCCACAACGCCAACTACCAAAAATGGAATAAGAAGTATTACAATAACAAGTGCCACTATCATGCCATTCAACCACGACCTCTTTTCATATGGCTTGGATGGCTTTGTACTACAACAAACACATTTAATATGACAACACGAATTACAACAACAATACACACACGAAGTGACAAATACCGTTATCACACCAATTACAATGGATATTATAATAAAACTGGATGGTATGACCATACTTTCTATATACGGCTTGTAAAAGCATTCTCGTTTAAGATCTCTCGATATGTCAAACCCATCATTTTCTTCACAAAAATTAAGAAACCCCTTTGCTTTGGATGCAGAAAAGAGCACCGGGTGGACAGAACGTTTTCTTGAAATATCGTCTTTGTTGTTAGAAGCATGTTTTGTTCCATTTTCCAAAGAAAAAACAGGACCACATAAGAGTAATACAATTACAGTTTGTACATTAAACATAAATAAACTCCTTGTTTATTTTTAAATGTAGTTCTTATATTTCAATTATATTATTAATTATAATATATAGATTACTTTAAGAAACCCCTTGTTATTTCCTTGAAAATATAAAACACAATACGTCTTGTTAAACATTCAATAGAACAAAAGCAAACACACATTAATTAAAAACAATTTGATCCGAATACAAAGGTGGGCTTCTTGAAGACTCGCGTGAGTGTGTGGCAGAACTACTCGTTGAGCTGCTTGTCTCACTGGAGCTCCTATTATCATCCTCTTCTTCTCCCCCACTCTGTGATATCTTTCCTCCGTTTTTCAGTGTTAACGCGGGAAGACTCACAATGTCTTCTCCCCACGATTCAATTGCATTGATCACATTCATAAACGTCGGTCTATCCTCTGGTATTTGCGCCCAGCACTGATTCGTCAAATTCCAATAATTCGACGGGCAGGTTGGGGGTTGTTCGAGACGATTACCTTCAATGATGAATTGTGGAACCATCCAAGGCTTCTCAAATCGTTTATCCGTCTCTTCAAACACCTTCTTCTGTGTGTATGTCTCGTACATCATCACACCAAATGAATACACATCACTTGGGAAACCGTACTCTCCGTTCCCTCTCAAACACTCGGGGCTCATGTAATTTGGTGTTCCAATACCAATCGTCAACTTTTTCCCCATCAGCGCAACCTCTGATATACACCGACTTGTACCAAAATCAGTCAGTTTGCTGCACACGTCCATTTTAGGGTTGAGTGAGAAGACCAATACATTCTCACTTTTAACATCTCTATGGATGATGTTGTTTTTGTGTAAATAGGATAACGCCAGTGCAACATCTTCCATGACTTTCACTTTGAATAAGTACGACATCTCTTGGTGAAGATACACTTTGGTGAGTGATCCATACTCTGCAAATTCAGTTACAAGAGCAATCTCACCCTCCGTGTATATCGCTCCAATCAACTCAACAACACTGACATACCGCATCTGCAATAGCATTGACACTTCGTGATTAAACTCCTTTTCAAGTTCATCCGTCAAACTCCGCGACTTCATCTTCTTTATTGCAACAATACGGTCACGATATTTGCCTTTAAAAACTATACCAAATCCACCCTCACCTATCGCTGGTAGTACTGGCTTTAACTCAGTGTAATCCAATTTAACTGAAAGGTCAGTGTCAAGGTATATCGTCAATTTTGCAGTTTCTTTGACTTGTGCGCCCATATCCATTGCAACAATACCAATGTTTTCAATGATAGAAGCAGTGCACAATGGCTTCACATGGAAAACAATCGTTGCTGCTTTCTTTGGACCTAGCACGCCATTGTTTGGTTCAATCTCCAAATCAAAGCGGTGCGATGGGTCGGTATAGAACTCGAAGAAATAAGTTTTGTTAGTCATGTTCGCGATACTCAAAGTCTCTTCGTACACCTTATCAACAATTGCTTTACCCTTTTTGAGACCAAAGAAGAGCTCCCATTTATCAGTCTTCATTGGGAAATTTTTGTTATCAGAGCCAAGTAACAACATCTCCAAATCGGAATTCACTTTGAAGGGCTTCAATTTTTGGTCGACTTCATACACATACCGCCTTCGTTCTCTCCAAATGAGCAACCCGACTCCAACCAAAAATACAATAATGAGTACAACACCTAACACGGTGAGTGGTATGATGAGTTCGTACTTTGGTCGCGAACACGATAACATGTTTTGTTCTAAAGAATACCCTCCTTTACACTTGGAGCAGACATCATAACTACACTTTGCACAATTTGGCAAATCACTACATGGATAACACTCCCCATTCTTGGCATAGAGATCCTTTGTTGGACACGACAAACAATTAATGGAGTTTGTGCTTTCAATGTATTGACACGACCCACATCGCTCCGGACAAACACTACACTTATAAGTTGTGGGTTCGGTAGAGTTGATGTAATACCCTTCATTACATGTCACACATCCATTTATTCCAGCCTCACAAGTCATATTAATCTCACTTTGGGGATGACACAACTTCCACCCAAGTTCTTTCCAATTTAAAGGTCTGTAATAAAGCACTTGGCATGTTGTACATTCAGTGCTTACTTCGCACGATCCACACGACTTATCGCATTTCACACATTCTTGGTCGTCATTCTTGTCAGATCCACCATTCAAAAAATAGCCATCAGTACACAACACACAAAACCCCATTTCCGTGTCAACACAATACGACTGTTTCTCAACACAGTCACGAAGTTGGACCCCATCGACAACCATCTTTTTCAGCACATATCCGTCGACGCATGATGTGCAATTTCTGCTGTTATAAACACACCGATTACAATGCTCGGAACATATCTCACAGGTTGTCCCATCTTTTGGAATGTAATATCCCGTCAAATCGGTACCCATAGACAACACATCAACACACTCCAAGCACCCCTTTAAATCAGAGGAAACACAATTTGAATCTTTTCTTTCACAAATGCCATCATTATTAAAATAATAGCCACTTGCACATGACAAACAATTATTTGGATCTTGTGTGCACGAGAAACACGCTTCTGAACATCTTTGGCACGTCATATTAACATCAAAGTAGTAAGTGTCCTCGCAATCGAGGCACCCGGAGTCCGAGTATCCAACTTTGCAGTGTGCATCAGCAAGGCTTATACAATGTCCTTGGACTTTGACGTATCCAGGGTGACATATGGTACACCCAGATATGATATTGACTTCGTCGTGATAACACACCCAACAATTGGTTTCAAGAACAGAGCAGTCTTGACACCTCCCTCGTTGTCTATAAAACCCGTAGAAACAAACATCACAGTAATCTATCGAGGTTAACGCAGTCTGACATTTTTGTATTTTGTTACAAAACGCTTGTTGTGTGTAATACCCCGGATAGCATTGTTGGCACAAAGACGATGAACAGTATTTGCAATTGGGTTGGCACGGCAAACACACGGATTTTGATGGTTCAAAGTATGTTGCTTCTGGACAAAGTCCGCAATCCATGTTGACTGTTTCATCCATGCAATTAATACATGAAGACCTGTTCGAAGAGACTGTGTATGTGATGTTGTTTATAGTTTCACATGAAAAGCAGGTGGTCGCGTTACACAACAAACAATGATCCGGGCACACCACACATGAACCTTCCGACAAGAAGTATCCAGCTTTACACTCAAGACATACATTCGAGTTATGGGAATCTTTCTCTAAGCAGTTCACCAAGTCGGTGTTTACAAAGCACTTTACAAGAGGCACTGTTGACGTCGAGTTGACAATTTGGAGTTGGCAGTTATCTGGACATTCAACGCATATGTTTTGGTCCTCTTTTTTGCAGGCGCACTCTTCTGATAAAGCCAAATATACAAACAAAATAAGGAAAAGGAGTTGCATTTGAAATGCTTGTGTTGTTTGTTTTTTACAACTTCGAGGGGTTATTTTTTATTAAGATCCCATAAGGTTAAATACTTCTATACAATCGGGCATTTAATTGAAGTTCTATGGTTTTTCTTAATAGTATTTTATAGTATTTTTCAATAAGTTTACTATTTTTTTTGTGTTTTTATTGGGTACTTTATTATTCGAAATAAATCAATTGTCCTTTTTAATTAATTATTTTTTTATAGATTATTTAACTATCAAATCCATGTAGTATTTATTAATTACATTAGTAATTGATTTAATTTTTTATTAATATAAATAGAACAGGTGTTAAACACAATAATGACCTAAACAACATGACTTGTTAAAGACTTAAAAATTAATTGCTTTTCCTTAACTCGTCGAGGATATTTTTGTAATGCTTTTTGACAATAACGCGCTTGGTCTTGAATGATGGAGTCAACATCCCATTTTCCTCGGTGAAGGGGTCCATTTCAATATAAATATTTTTCACCCACTTCATATCCTTTTGCGCCTTGACTCCTCACATATTCCTCAACATTTTTCAAAATAAGACTTTTCCCTTTTGTGTTTGCAATGTCTTTCAAGAGTTGCACATCCATTCCATCAGAAATTCCATTGATTTTTCCTTCTAAAAATGCTTCAAGTTCCTTCTTCTTTGCTACTAATATACCAACAAGGAAGGAATCAGTACTTTCGCCATAAACAAACATTTGTTCGATGAATGGGTGCGAGGCGTACATTCTTTCGAGAGGTTCTGTGGCAACGTACTCTCCTTGTGACAGCTTAAACATATTCTTTCTTCGGTCAATAATACTCATCGTCCCGTCTCCATTGATTCTTCCAATGTCTCCTGTTTTGAACCACCCGTCTTCTGTAAATGCTTCTTTAGTGCTTACATCATCGTGGAAATATCCTTTGAAGATAAACTCACCTTTGATTTCAATCTCTCCTGTAGGTGGGTTGTCACTGACAAAATACCCCAATTCCTCTGCATTAGACAATCGAAAAGTAGCGCCTGGACATGGTCTTCCAGTGCTCATTATTTTTGGATTTAATAAACCTGGGATGGTTCCAATACACCCTCCAAATGTCTCAGTGGAGCCATATCCATTACATATGATGACGTCAAAACACACTCGCATCCAGTCATACACTTCACGAGACAATGGCGCACTCCCATTACATACTAATTGTATCCGACCTCCTAATAACGCTTTAATTGTACCAAATACCCAGTAATCCCAGTCAACCATGTTTGTAGTGTTCGTATCAACTGCCCAATTTTTGAAGTAGTATGCGGTGTTATACATCGTTTGAACCACATACGACTTCTTCTTAATTTCACTATTGAAAACGTCGTATAATTTTTGAAGTACACGAGGGACGACAATCAAAAACGTTGGTGACGCCATTTTCACTTCTTCCGGGAAGTAACGCACATTTCCACTATTCATGTAAACCCACCCACCTGTGCATAAAAATGTCAAATCAATTTGATGTTCGTAGACATGTGATAATGGTAAGAACGAAAGTGTGATTTGTCCTCTTGTCATGAACTGGGCGTGAAACGGAGCTGAAAAACAGAAACAGCACATTGCGTTAGTGATAGTCCAATGGGTGTGAATCGCGCCTTTAGGAACACCAGAAGTGCCACTTGTGAAGAAAATGGAACATGTGTCTGTTTTATTGGGGAGGTTTGGTGGTTCAATTTGGCGTCTTCCTTCTTCGCGTAGTTCATTTAAAGTGAAGTCGACACTCTCGTTTTTGACATCATCAAAACAGACACTTGTGAACGTGCGATGCGATTTTAAGTCTTGAACTCTGTCTAGAACTTCGTCACTACAAAACACGTAAGAGCATTCCGCAGTATCGATAACATGACAAAGTTGTTCAGTTGTTAAAGTCGAGTAAAGTGGGACTAAAATGATTCCTTGACGATGGAATGCAAATTCGGTGAGTATCCACTCGTATCTATTAGTCGAAAAGACAGCAGCTGTTGCGCCTTTTTTAATATTCAACTTACGAACAATTCCACTTGCTATTTCTTCCACTATAGTTAAACATTCTTTTGCTTTCAAGTTGATGAAGTCTCCTTTTGGCACGTGTTTCTCGTCTTTTTTTCTATAAGACAAACAGAACTAAAACGTTAATTTGTGTTAAAGTTATTAAAAATAAATTCATTTAAACATCATTTGTTTTTAATAATTCAAATTAGTAATTACAACGAGTTTTGAAAAATATCTTTGTTATTCAATTTATTATTATAATTATTATAATACAACAGATTTTTCTGTGGCGTTCTCGTTAGACATAAATAATTAACAACATACCTCTTCAGGCCACAAATCGCACCGTCTCTTAAACATTTCAAAAAGAGTCATTTTTGTCATTTCCTCTTTCGAGAAAAAGGAGTTCATGTTCCAGTATTGTAATTGGCAATCCATGTAGACGTGTTTATCGTCCTTGTGGATATATGGAAAAGGTCCCTTTATATCGTCGAAGTCTGGGCGTATTAATGTGTGTGGTATATCTTGTTGGGCAGTCGTGTTTTCTTCGACTTGAATGCTATGAAGCTCGTTCATATTCTTGATTTTAAAGTTTCATTTTAACTTGAATCAGAATTTGGAGGTACAAACACCAAATTGAACTTTTGAAGTTTTTTCAATTGATTCCTTTCTATTTATCAAAATAGTGGGAAGTTTGTATCAATTATTTTTATCCAAAATAGGTGTTAAAAACGCTTTTAAAGCCCAAATAAAACTTTCGTAATTTTATCGGCAACTAATTTATTTTTCTTCTATATTTCAGAAAATTCATAAATCGATATACCAACAATTATATTAAAATAAACAACAGCAGTCGCGTGTTTTCAACAAAGAAAAAGCAAAAAAGTACTCGAAATTTTTAGTAAAACAACTATATAAATACTATTTATTTGCACCTTTCAAAAATTCGTCATTTCAAGCAGAAGTGATGAATTTGCTGTTATGTCTCTCTGCTGTTGTCGTCTTAACTTTTTGACGATAACAAAGGTATACACTTTTTGTAAAATTGTGCACAACACAAAAAATGAACAATGAAAAATGATTAGAACACAAGTAAAGCAGTTAAAAGATGCTTCCACCAAATGGAGAGTATGGGAATTGTGCTGGCATCCCATATTGTGGCGCTGCACCTCCGTAAGGCATAACTGGTGGGACCATCCCAAATGGAGTTTGTTGAGGTGGTGCTTGCACAAAAGGTTGTTGCTGTGCATATGGTTGATACCCAGGCGCATTCACAAAGGTCCCAGGCGTGGCCCCGTATTGTTGGAACCCCTGACCTCCATAAGGTTGAGAATAGTTAGCGTTTGTGTTAGTAGGCATTCCATAAGGTTGGTTGAATGGGTTATTTGATTGTGTTGAGTTAGACATTGGATATTGTGTTGGATATTGAGTATTTCCATAAGAAGTGGTGTTTGATGATGGGTATTGTGTAGGATAGTCATTTTGTGTACATGAAGTTGGATATTGAGTTGGGTATTCCATATTTGTGTTAGTTGTCGATGTTGTCTGACTTGTTGGGTAATTAGACGGGTATTCCTGTTTTGTTGTTTGTCCTCTAAGATTTGTATTTTGGTAATTTGTAGTTTGTGATGGTTCATGATAAGGTTGTGTTGTAGTGTTAATTCTGCTCATGATATTCTTATTTCTCTCAATTTCGATTTTCCTTTCTTCCTCTTCCATCTGAGCACACTCCTCTTCTCTCCTCTTCTTTTCAACACTTGCTCTTTCAGTCATTTCTGCAGCCTCTTTTGTTCGGATGTCCACGTACTTTTTCACTTCTTTCCTGAGCTCTTCCAAGTCTTCTTCAACACTTTCCATCATCACAATTTTCTCAACCGCTTTACTTGCGACATTAATATAACTTTCACCACTACTTTGATATCCTTGGCAGACAGTACCTCGTGTATCCAGCAATGAAGATGTGTGTTCGTTGATTTCGTTATTAAGTCCACTGATTTGTCCGATCAACTCACTTTGTGCGTTCAATGAATTTTGGATTTCCTGTGTGAGTGGAGCGAATTCTTTGATCAAGTCGTCCACGTACTCATTCTTGTCTTTAGCTATTTTCATCCCTTCCAAAAGAGTTTTTTGGTGTCTTCCCTGCAACTCAATGACTGCATTCACCGCCATCTCTCTCATCACTTTCAGTTCATTCCATTTGTCAAACAATTCGGTCATTTTCCCGACCATATCTTTCAGCATATCTCCTCCACTTTTGGGGATGTTTTTAATCAACACATCTTCCCCTTGCAATATCATTTCAACCTCCGTTTTAGTTTTCAATATGGTGCTCTTACCCTCTCCATAAAGCCATTTTCCATCTTCGCATGCGCGCTTTATCCCATTGATTTTCAAAATGATGTCTTTAGTTGCCTCTGCTGAAGTTAATCTCCTCCACAAATCGCCAAATTCGTTCTTTTTCTTCATATCTTCTTCACTCTCTACTCTCAAAGACTCTTCGATATCTTCAATACCATTTTTAACACATTTAATCTTTTCGTTGCATTGATCTAACATCTTGAGAGTGTCTTCCGGCTTGTTCACACTTCTCAATTTCGAAATCACTATTTTTAGGGAGTTTGGAATGCCATTAATCCCTTCCACTTTATTCTCAAGTTCTCTTAAATTGATGCTTTGTATCACTGCATCTCCTTGTGCTGTAAATTGTGGTATCATCGTTTTAGTGTCGCCAACTATCTTCCCCGAATTCGTTTGATATCGAGTCATGGCGCCACGAAGTGCAAAAGGCACAATCGATTTAAAGGGACTCTCTGATACACTGAGTTCATAGGCAATGTCATTCACACATATCCTCGACTTGATTTCTGGCGGTATTTGTGGGATTGGATTCATGTAAATGTCTTCGTTGTCCTTTTCGAGTGTGTAATACTTGTCTTTAACTTGTTTCACCAAGTCGTCTATCGGTAGAGTGGTTTCCTTAATGCAACGGACTGCTTCATTATATTGAGACATTGCCTTTCCATACTCCAATTCTTCTTCACACACCAACCCAGCAGCTACTCTCGCCAAAAACAGGGAATATAAATATACACTTTTCGCACCATTTCTAAGCAACTCAACAGCACCGCCCGCAATTTTCTCTCTCAGAACCACACTCGAATTTGCAGCAACCGCCTTTGCGTAAAAAGATAATTGCGCACACCCACGAGCCAATATCTGGAAAAGTCTGGCATCGTCCGCTTGTTTCTTCAGTCCGGATTTATCTGCCAATTCAATACACGTTGTGAATATGCCGGCCGCAGTTGTGAATTGTGTAATTGATTCACCTACGGTGTTTTGTGAAGTGGCAAGAGAAGAAGCAGCTCGAAATGTGAGGACGCCGGCGTTGTGTAATATATGAACGCGTTCAAATACAATAGAGGAAGAGTGTTGCTCATCCATAACAATTTCAGTGGCGTTGTATGAGAGTGAAGCAAGCAGTCCAGTTTTAGGCCTTATCGTTGGTATCTGCCACTTAAATTCAACATTGGCTGTCCCTTCATTTAACGCGCGCGACAAGTGTGTGAGTAAGCTGTCGTACTCTAAGAGTGATGTAATAGTTGCACTGTTTTGACCTTCACACATCTTGTGGAGCTGAGACATTCTGTCAATGGCTTGGAGTGCGGTGGTATCACCTCGGCTCTGTTTGATTAGCGCCTTAATAGCCTGTATATCAACTTGTGATGCAGTGTATAGGTCTCCTTGGTACAATATCGGAATTGTTGTTACCTTCATTAACTTTGAGGTTTCTGGATTTTAAGTTTTCGACAAGATTGTATTTATTTTTGAGTTAACTTTAATGATTAATTTATAGTTTATTATTGTTCTTATATAATACTTTTTGAAATAAAAAATGTATTATTAAATTTGATTAAATTTATCATTAATTATACTATAAATGGTGAAATGCATATTATATTGGTTTTTTTCTTTTATTGAAATTTTTGGTGATTTGAATTGTTTTGCTTTTATCTTGAAAAATCAAATTTTAGATTTGCGTCAAACCCAATCTTTAAATGACAAACATTTTCAGGAAAACAAAAGAAATTGATCGATATTATTTTTATGATACTTTTATGATATAATAATAGAATTAATAATTTAATTTAAGAAAATAATATTTTTTAAATTGAAACAAACATAAAAAAACCAAATGCCATAATTTACTTTGCTTATGTCAGAAAAACATTGAAATTGCATTTTTGGTAATCTAATAACTTTTTTTATTAATTCAATAAATTACTTCAATTGAGTCATTTTAGTTCGGGAATTATTGTTGTATTTTCATTCCAACTCAAAAGATCCCAAAATTCCATGAGTTGAGATATTTAAACCATCCAAATTCTATTCGACATAGAAAAGAAGTTAGAAAAGCAATGGTGTTTATTCAACAAAGAAGAAACTCTTCTCCAAACCCAAACTTGAAAAAAATAGATGTCAGGTATCAAAACAAAGGCACAAGCACGTCTTTTTCTTCACAGCGATGTTTTAATTCTTCCGGATGTCCTCTGTGGGGTTATAGAATTTGAAGCTGTCCGAGTCTGTGTACTCAAGGCGATTTTCGTCGATTTGACGGGATACACTGTTAATGGGATCGATTCGCATTTCCAAATCCCATTCCCCGCGACGGTCGGGAAACCTTATAAAGCGACAGTCGATAACTCCCAAAATCGCGCCTATGCCAAATTTTGGGGTGTCGAGCAGAAGATTTTTGGCGACAACATGGCCAACGGGAATGTGTTTTACGAGGTAGCTCCTGGAAAGCACTTATTCCCATTTTCGATTCCTATCAAGAATTTCCCAATCTCAGTCGGTGACCCTTCAAATTGCCAGTCACTGAATTACACGGCTTCTGGCAGAGTTCTTATCAATTACCAAGAGCCTGTAAAAACCAACTCGTTGAACTATTACATCATGTTTAATAGGGAAATGAAGTATCAATTGGGTATCCCAAAACAATTTGTCACAGCTCCAAATGCAGAACTTGACATGGACATTTCACTCTCCGCCACTAGCGTGAGAATCGGAGATACAATCCACTTGAAGGCACATTTACTCAATCGATCCAGTTCAACGGCGTCTACACATTTGAGATTAATTGTCGAGTTTCAAGCCAGCGTGCCAGTCACTTTAAAAGATTTCAAATTTGGCGACGTCTCGGGGAAAGGATTTTTCTCGAAGAAAGGACAGAACGAAAAAACATTTGAAGAGGACATTTTAATCTCTGGAGGACTCTTTCCCACTTCCGATCACCCTAGCGCATTGGTCAGATACTCCCTTTTGTTTACTGCAAAGGCTAAAATGCAGTACCAACTTGTCTGCCCCATTATGATCTCGTCTCAACCACCAGAAAACCCACAAATTTTGGTCGACGCATTGAACAAGTATGCAGTTAATTACGCAGATAGAACGAATACATTCAATTCAGTCTTTTCGGGACATTTTAACCCATTCCCTGTGAGTCCTCTGACTAGTCCAATTGAGCAAGTCTCTCTCATCGACCAAACTGCAGAACATTTCAGTGTCGACCACATTCAGAGAACAACATCGTTGAACCCCGGTGTACAGGACGAACAACCACCATTCCCATATCCAAGTTGGAGGAGTGTTGTGTTGCCCCAAGGCTTTGTTATGTTCTATTATATGAACGAGTGGTGTTTTATTAATTTGTCCAACAATCAAGTCTCTTACGTCGACCCACGTCCCCCAGAACAAAGACTCCCGTTATACGCAACTGATAACGACGCGTATGAATTTGTCGTGAAAGTGAACGCGGTCAGAGGAATTCCTTTGATGGAGCAGAAAGAACCAACACTGTCATTCACACTGAACGACTATATCGAAGTCGATACACAGAAGGGCCAGAAACAACTCACATTCAAATTGGAACAAGGGCTTGAGCCTCATATTGTTGGGAGCGATATTGTGTTGTCAGGGTTTACTAAGAATAGGATGAACGCGATTGTGAAAGTGTCACAACAACACACGTTCAGCGAAACAATCTATGGGTATCTCGACCTCGACTTCTTACATATCCCAAGTGGAGTTGAAATCACTGATTGGTTCCAATTGGTTGGAGATGGAGAGGAAGCAATTGGCATTGGAGAGGTTAACGTCACTATCGGCGTGAGAAGTAGAGTGAACCCACAACTTGTCCCCGTCTGTGTCAGTTGTGTGAGTGCAATCAACAAGATGTGGTACCCATCAGGAAAGCTCTTGCAGACTGCAATGAAAAACGAAGAGAAGATGGGAGCAAAAATGAGAAAAGGAAGAGCTTTAATTCCTCAATTTGACTATGAGGTATATACGCCTTTCAATTTGCCGCCAAAGAACACTTATCTGAGACTCATAAATTAACTCAGGTTTTGGTCGATACTTTTCTGATTTAAATTTACAAATCGCAAAGTGAATATTTTTTTCATAATTTAACTCTAAATAAATATACTATAAATAAATGTTTATATTATTCTATTTCAATAAGTCCTTGAATCAATAAATATACTATACATTAAAAATAAAATGAAAGATGACTTTCTAATGAAAAAAATGAAAAAATAGTTTTTTATTTCTTTATTATTGTGCTAAAAAGATTGTAAAAAATGAATTTTAGATATTAAAACGAAAACATTCTTTGTTTTGGCATTTTTGTTTTTGTTCATCAGTTTTTTCCGTTAGTTGTTTTTTTACAAATAAAGATAGAAGTAATAACAATTAAGAATTAATGTCATAATAAATCGGGATATTTTAATGAATTAGATAAACACACTTGTAATATTTTTGGTATGCAATGTGTAACGCATTTTTTGTGTTTGTTGTTTAAAGATAATGCCAAGTGTAAAGTTGAATTGAAATATTATAATGTTTATACGTCTAAATTCAGGAAAAGTACATGTAATTATTGTATTGTGTATTTGAAAAGGCGGAGTTTGTTGTGTTACTATTGAATAAGATTGGACTTTATTAAAAAATAAGTGCAATACCATTGAAATGAACTATAAATAATAAACGTGGTATGAAAATACAATAAATGATGTATAAAACAACTTCTATAAACTCGGGACAAAAATGATCTTATGAACCACAGAGCAAGTTTTGCCGTTATTTAAATGTAATTAGAATCTAATTTCTTTGAAAATTGATTGAACATGTTTTAAAGAGAGCAAAACTTGGTTGGTGATAAGTGCTTGCAAAACGCTACAAAGCAAAAGTTAAAATAAAGTTGATTTACATTTGGTGCTTGTTGTTATTCGGAGCTTTAGTCAAACAACGAATTTGTGACGATGAGGTCGAACGTGAGTTCTTTTTGAGGTACAACACAGACCTTCATCGAGTTTTTCGACATCTCGTGCAGGAAATTTGACACCTTATCTCCAATCGAATTGATATCTTCGGATCCGTAAAGTAATTTCCCATTCCTCCACACTCTTTCAATGATTTCATTCTTACCTTCATTCTTTCCTTTCTTCTTTTTGTAATCAAAAAAGTACCCAATTTCGATACAGAAGTCGAGTAATAAAGTGTTCATTGTGTCTGTCTTTTTGGAAAGGTATCTTCTATATGCCTGTTTATCTTTTAACCCCCCGTTGATTTCCTTTTTGTAGTCCTGTTTACATCTCGAGTGTACAATTTCGTTCAGGGCAATGAACTCATCTTTGATAACCAAAGACTTAATCGAAAAGAGTTGATGTGTCAAACGAGCCTTTTTCTTTGGTCTTTTAAAATAGACTGAACAATCGGAATTCAAGAGGAAAACTAAAAGACCCTGTTGGAGCGCCTTTTCCTCTCTTTTCTGCCGACTTTCTTGTGCGTGTTTTGAGCGTTGGTCCTTAGATCGTGTTACTCTTCGTTTCGTCTCCATTGCTGTTGTGAAATTCTAAGTTCATTTTAAATTGCCAAATGATCTACTACTTCAATATTTGCTTTTCTTTAATAACACCACATCGTTTTTACAATTAACACGGCTTTGCCACGCACACAGCTTTCTGTGGGATTTGGTGTTTTTGTAGTACTCTAAAACTGGTTGAATTGGTTATTTAATTCATTGGAATTAAGTGCTAAAAAACAAGCTTTAGAAGAAGTAAAATGGAAAGCTCTCAGCAAGTTACTCTGACAAACTCGGGCGAATCTTCCACTGCCGATTTTTGCACAAAAAATGCAGAATTTACCGTTGTTGACACTCTGAAAATATAGACCCTTTTTAACTTCCGCCGTTTGGATAATTCATTGGTCAATTTTTTCTTTTATTCGTTTTGAGGAAAACACCATCAATCTTCTCTTTTGTCCGCTTCGTTATATTATTATGGTATTGTTGTGTTTGTCCAACACTTGGAATCGGCAAAAAACAGTAGAAATGCCATCAAATATTTTTTTGAAACTTGTACCGTTTTTGGAAAAAAAGGACAATAATTTTTTACAAGCAAAAATTTTTGAATACCCGAATTGGCCCGTTTAAGTAGTAATATTTGATACAAATTTTTCCTTTGTTTTTGGCAAGGAATATTTCATAAAATTGGATCTATAAAACAACATACCAAAACACTTGGTTTGCTTTATTTAACATGTTATTATAGACGTAATTTGATAAAAAAGCTACTGATTAAAAATAACTTATTTGAAAGGTGCTTTTTTTAGGAACTTTTTAGTTTTTACTTGTCTAAGACACTGTTTATGATATCCCAAAAACCCAATACCTTGCGTCTTCGAAGCAAAAGGATTCACTCTAAAACACCACAATACCCCGACCTATTCCAAATAGGAAAAATTAAAACCCGAATGGAATAAAAAGAAGTCATAAGGGGAAAAATAGATAAAATAACTAAATATTTAGAATTTGTCTTAAAAACAATGAAAAACATTTTGAAAAACAAATAAAACACCACCAATCACTAAAGAAAGAATTACTGATGGAATTCTGGGCAAATAACCGGTTATTTGCGGCATTGGTATTATGGTTGTTGATTAGTTAGCCATTTTATTAATAAATTTATAATACTTATTAAGTAAAAAAGTGGGTTAAAAAAAAGATGATCCAAGTTGCCTTGATTCGTTAGATATTTACTAAAAGATTCATGAAGTCCGCAACAAAGGAAATCGCGAATTGGATTTCAAAATTCATTTCACATATTTTGAAAAGCAGCGCCAGACCAATCAAATCAACGGGTCGGCACTTCGGTCGATTGTAAACGAGAATAACGAGAAATGCACCAAATTGCATCACGAAAAGCGGTTTTGTAATCGTAAGAGCAACTTCAACCCCCATACTACTCAGTCGATTAACACAAAGCACACAATTTATAGCAACAAAACATATAACCAGTCAAATAAACATCTTTTTGACATGTTTATTAAATATAAATTTAAACGTATATTCTTTCATACTACAGAATCGCTTTTAATATACACTTATATATTATTATATATATATTCTGGTTCGCTTGTAATAGAATTAAAAATGTCTCTTTTAAGTGTTAATTGATTACAAATTACTAAGACACATTCCAATAAATAGTTTTTTATAACTGTCTTCATCTCAAGATTTTATTCAATTATGATATGTTATTATTTTTATTAGATCAACAATAGCTGTTATATTTTTGATTGGTTTTTATTAACACGTTCAAAACAGAAACGTAATAATAATAAGTTTTTATTTTTTTCTTTTACCTAAACCCTTTTTTTGCCTTCATACACAAAACAAATTTTTGAAAATTTTTATTTGTTTTTTTATCAACTCAAATTTGAATTGTATATTTTTTAGTCACACTTAAAGTGAATGAGTTTATTTGTGTTAAACAAGTACAAAGCATTTGAAAGAAAAATGGGGTCTAATGATGGTTTGATATTTTTGGTTGTTTTTTATAAAAAGTATATTATCATTTGATTATAATGATATTGGTGTTTATATTGTCGTTATATTTGTTAATGTGACTATTTGACATTGTTTGTTATTAAGTGAATTGACGATGTAGCATTTTTTGTTTAAATGTTGTAACACAATAAAACGATATGAAATTTCATCCAAAAAGATTATTTTTGACCAATCTTAGGTAATTGAGTTCTCATTTGTTAATTATTTTAAGTAAAATTAAACGGACTATTGGCCGGTTTGGGTTAGAAAGGGGTTTTGGAATAAAAATAATAAAAAAATGATTTGGATAATTTCTTTTTTACTTATTTTTCTTTTTAAAAAAAAGTTTTGGGTTGTGAAAGTGTTAATTAATTTTGGTAAAAAAAGTCAATTTTGAAGATAAATAAAAAATATTTAATTAATAAAGGTATATTATTTGGTGTTAATAATTAATAATTCATTTTTATTACAGATACAATTAAACAATTATTGTATAATAATAAACTTGTTATAATTAATAACTAAAAGAATCATTGAATTATAGTTACTGAGATGTGATAAATTATTATTTTGTAATTGTCAAATTACGAAATCAGCGCTAATTTTCTTCCAATGAAATGGTCATTACAATAAAATAAAATTATATGGCTCATTGTATAATATCACCGAGCAAAGCCACAAAGAAAGTGATATACTCTTTGTGGGCAACAACACTGACTTTCTAGCCTGAAGAAAAGGCCAAACAAAACCTTTAAAGTGAAAAGATGTGGTTTATTCTATGTGTCCAACTTGTTGCATCTTTGGTTACAAATTGCAAGACCTACGATGAAGAGTTGTGTACGGCATGTAATACGATGTACTATTTGGTCGCGACAAATGTTACCAATGGGGAGGTCACTGTGTTTGAATGTCAACCAGTAACACAGGTCTCTAACTGTAACACTTATGATAACAACTTGTGCACGATGTGTATGAGTGGTTATGTTCTTGATATTCAAAACAACAAGTGTGTTCCTTGTATGGTGACTTCTGGGGCGTTTTTGTGTCAAACGTGTGTTTTAGAAAATGGCAATACAAAATGTCTTGAGTGCAACAACAAGTTTACTTTGGTGCAATCAACGAATGACTGCATTGACTGTTCGTCTGATTTACATGTAAATACCACTCAATGTGGGTATTGTGGAGAAGGTCTGTACTACAACACAACACTTGGTTCTTGTGATAAGTGTCAAACAAATTGTACGATGTGCACCACATTGAACAATTGTTTTAAATGCACCAACAACAGCTTTTTGTTTTACACAGAAGGGAGTGATTTATGTGGACCTCTTGATTCGTGTGTTAGTGGATACGTGAAAGACAATTACTGCACAAAATGTGAAGAAGGTACTCAACTTAAAAATGGATATTGTTATGACTGTGGTAACAATTGTACATACTGTTCAGTAATCAAAAGTGACAACAATTATGTCTTTTCAACGTGTAGTTTCTGTGATGTGGGATACGTCATAACTTCTTCTAAAACATGTAAGTTGGCTTCAGACATCCATTGTAAGTCTGGGAGTCGGTCGCAAGGTTGTACTTCTTGTGAAAATGGGTATTTCATGAATTCGAATTGGGAATGTCAACAATGTGCGTCTCATTGTACTTCTTGTGTTCAAAATTCCACTTACTGTACTCAATGTGATTTGGGATTTTATTTGGATGGTACGGGTTCTTGTACCACCAAAGATGTCAGATGCAAGAAAACAAACAACGGAGGGTGTATAGAATGTGACAATCCAAAAGACCCAACAAGTACTAAAGATGGATATTATCTCCTCAACGGAAGTTGTGAAGTGTGTAACACAACATGCAACAGTTGTTTCAACAACTCAAATGATTGTTTGTCATGTAAACCCGGATACTTACTTATTCCAAAAGAAAACAGTTCTTATTACTCATGTGAGGTGAAAGACAATTTATGTGCTGAAAGTGTGTTGGGACGTTGCACTAAGTGTCGGGAAGGGTATTTCAAAAAACAGAATTCTAATTACGAAAGATGTATAAAATGTGACGCAACGTGCAGATCGTGTACAAACGAAACACATTGTGTTGAGTGTGAAGATGATATGTACATGTCCAGAACAGAGTATGGAGTGTGTCGACCATTGAGTGAAATCAATATGACGTGCAAAGCTTCAATTGTTGGTTGTACGTCGTGTTATTCTCACTTCTACAAAGCTGAAAAGGATGACTTCAATTGTACGTCCTGTCCTGATTCATGTCAAGAGTGTGTTCCAAGTCCGTTAGGAGGGGCCGTTTGTGTTTCATGTTTTAATGATCAACTGTATATTGCAAATGGTACCTGCGCCCCTTGTAAACTTATTGACAAATGTATTCAATGCGATGTGACTGGATGTATTAAGTGTTCTGAAAACTATCAACTTAGTGATGGAAGTTGTTACCGAACGAGTCTGTCAACTGTTTTAATTCCTATAGGTCTTTCAGTTGGGCTTGTAGCAATGTGTTCTGTTATCATTGTAGTTGTTCTCGTTGTGTTGTACATAAGAAGGAGGAAAGAATGTTCCATTGATAAGTACAAATCAAAAGACGAAGTGTTGTAACCAAACAACTTTTTTCGAGTTCTTTCAAATATAAAACCATCAAAATAATTTTAACTATTAAATTCGTTTGTCTTAAAGTAAATTACTTTTTGTCGATTATGGAAGTGATATATTGTTCGAAACTATCAGAGTTCTTGTCATCAAATTGAATCAACAGTTTGTATAAATCGCACACTCGATATTTCTTGTCAATAAGTTTTTGAAGGAGCGCATCAAACCTTTCAAATTCTTTCGAGTCGAACCAGTGGAACTCTCCGTCTTTTTTCGACACGACAAAGACCATGACTTGCTGTAAAAACTTCAGAAGAGGGTCATTGAAAAATGCCCCACATCCCCATCTCCCTGTTGCAATACTTCCTTCCGTTTTCACGAAACCCACAAGTGCTTTGTTCAAGTCTCTGTCAATTGCAGTTTTTCCAAAGCAAAGTGACACACAGGAGTCGATTGCCAAAATCACTCGATTAGTCATTTGCTCGCTCTTGGGGAGTAATCCAGTACATTCAAAAGATTCTCCATATCCTGTCGAGGAACATAACCTTATTGTATTGCTCATAAATATCACTTCATCGCTTTCCATTGGAGCAAAGAACATGGTTGACATGGTGAGTTCTGGACGAATGGAAAAGAGAAGCTCTTCTTGTGTAATAGAAGGCCATATTTGATATATCATTCTCTTATTAGCAAAATCTATATGGACTTTACAGTCGGACAACTCAAGTCCGCCCTGAACATCTTTGTAGTGCTTCAACTCTGACTCATCGCTTAAGAAGTTGTATGGCTCGGCTATAAATCGCCTTGAAAAGGTCACAACTTCCGTTTGAATTTCTGGGTGAAGCAATACATAGAAAATGTAATTATAGAAGCACACAAGACGCTCAGTACCAACAGCAAAGTTCTGTGATATTTGGAAGAACGATATGTCTGCAATTCGTGGGTTGATGATCTCTTTACCATTCTCGTCGTAATAATCGTTCCACTCGATGTGAAAAAAGGAAAGAGCAAAGAAGAAGAGCAGCTCATACCGTGTTATTTTCACATCACGTTCTTCGTGGTTTGGAACATAAACGATTTCAATACAATCCTTTAAATGTTTTGAAAATGGGTGTTCCTGACTGATATAGGATTTTAAACATTGTTTCAAACCATTGATAATAATCACAAATAATTCATCTTCTTTGTGGAGTTGATACTCAAGGCAAACTCTTTCAAACGCTTTCTTTATACCAGTTGGTGCATTTCTCGATATTCTTTTTCTATAATTGGAATCTTGTTGTGACACAAACGAAATTAAATGAAAAACATCTGGAAAATCCGTTGATAAGACTTGTTGAATCAACTTAGTTTGGTACTTGACTGCAATTGTTGTCATGATTAATTGTTAGATTTTTGATTGTTTAAATACATCATCTTGAGTTTTTTAAAAACATTGGTAATTTATGGTTAAATTGTTTAATATAATAATATAATTTTGCTGGGACCAGCTTTTTCCACCACCTCTTAAAATAGAACGCAATTTTAGCTAAAAATAAATACAAAAATACATTTATTATTAATAATAGTATTTTAATCATAATTATATTATATGAATTTACACAAATTAATTTATTTTATATATTAATTTTTATTATTAATAATAGTACAATATATGTTTATAACAAAAAATATAAAAATTTTAAAATTTTTATATTTTTTGTTTTTTGATATTTTGTTACACGAATATAAAATATCAATAATAATTTGTTAGTGAAATGAAATTCTGTTCTAATGTTCTTGTGTTTTTGCGTTTGGCTTTTTTGTAAGTTTAAGTCTTAACACAGGCTTTTTCATTGTTGATTTATCAGGCCTTACACTTTTGTGTATATTTTCAACCTTTTCAACAAGTCGACGAGGGCTCGGTCCTTTGTGATGTTGTTTTTTTGGATTACGAATCGGAGTAGTATCAATAGTCCCAGTTGTGTTTTTTTGAGTTTCTGGCATTACACAAGTTTTGGGCATTTTTTGGCTACATACCATTTGATGGTCAAGATAAAAGCTGGGATTTGTTGTAAATTTGTCAACAAATGAATAATAACTTGCACGCAAAAAAAAGCATCATTTTGAAGCGCAGGTTCAATACACTCAAGTTTATAATCTAAATCTGCATGTTCCTTTGAGAAATAATCTTCTTGTTCATTCCTTGTTTCTTTTGTATGTACAATCTTTTTGAAAACATTTTCTTTTAATATTTCATTTGAAAAACATAATTTGGAAATTGGGTAATTAGAATATTTATAAGCTCTTTTTATTATATGTATACAAGGAATACCAAACACAGAAAAAGCTTCACAACTACACCAAGTATCGGAACATTCAATTTCATCATCAATGATGACATTAACTGTGGAATATAAATAGCATATTTTGTTGACTAACTCTACTGGTATATAATATAAAACATCAGAAGGAATAAGTAGAAGTGCCATATTAATATTATCAAAATTGTTGCTCGTTGAATTTAAATCAAAAAACCTTGTATGGTTTACTAAAAACTCTGCTAAACTCACCAAAGTTTCTTCACGATCATTTCCACATTTTTTAGAAAACCAAAGTAACCTTCAATTTTGTTGGTAGTATCATCGTCTGTGTATAATCGAACTTTGGAAGGCAGCCAAGAATCCCTTTCGTTTATTAAATTTTCAACAACACGTATTTTGTCTTGTTTTGATAACTTGACGGACTTTGATATTTTCGAAGTTGTTTCAATTCATTTAAAGTCTCCAAAAACAATTCCGCATCATTTACAAATAAATCTCCGTTATTGACTTCCGACTCTTTTATAACATTATCCATCCTGTCCTTTTGTTGATCAGACAATTCATACCCTGTTAATTGTAACAATTCATTAATAAATTTATCTTCACTTATTATTCCATATTTCATATCATCAAATTGAAAAACTATATTTGCTGTTTTACCGAATGATATTTGTAAATCACGTCTAATATGACGAAGACAATTAAATATTTTTATACCACTATATACCCTTTTAAAGCATTAATTTGTGAAATACACCTGTCACAAAAAATACACGTTAGTATCACATTTGATCTTTTAAGATAATCAAAAAACTCAACAAAAGAGGAAGTGGTTCTGTCTTTCAATAAAGCGAAAAAACTATATGAGTCTTCTTGTTCTCATCTCCAACAACACCAACTACCAACGGAAAATTAAAATGGTTGGTCGCAGCTGTATCATCAATAAACACATTTGTCGATATTGTTTTTAGATAATTTGCATTAATAAAGTAACATGCAGAAAAGACCCTTCTTTCGTCGGTGACAAAATGTGTTGAAAAGTCTTTCAATTTCTCTACAAACGAATACAACTTCAAAGCTTCATCTTTATTTCGGAAATCAACAGCGCGTTTAACGATATTTTGTACCCTTTTTGGCTTGATTGGAAGATCCATCATCTGTTTTATTTGTGATGGTTTTTTGCCATTTTTGGCATAATTATTCATTTGTTCGATTTGCAATTCGGAGAAATAGTAATGTGTATATACTGGAAGAGTTTCAAAAGTGTGTATGTATTTGTTGATTAAAGTGATGGTATTTATTACAGATTTGTCGAATGATAAAACCACGTTAAGTTTAACTGGACACTGTCTAAAACAACAACCAAATTTTTGTTTTCGCTTCTTGTGATCGGTGTGTAAGGCTTTGAACAGAGAATAGCGATGATTTTTTATTTCAATTAAAGAAGAAATTCTGATAAAAAGTGTGATTTTTTGTGAAGCAAGAGGTTTTGTTATCAATGTATCGATAATAGACTGAGGTGTGTCAACGCTACCATTGTTAAGTCCATCTGTTTCAAATTTGAACTCTGGATTTGTGGCCATTTATTGATTTATGAGTTTTGGTGGGGTTTTCCATTCGATTTTTTGCTTTAAATTTTGTGAATTATTTTTTATTTAAATGAATTTAACAATTTATGTATTATTATTAATAATAAAAATTAATATATAAAATAAATTAATTTGTGTAAATTCATATAATATAATTATGATTAAAATACTATTATTAATAATAAATGTATTTTTGTATTTATTTTTAGCTAAAATTGCGTTCTATTTTAAGAGGTGGTGGAAAAAGCTGGTCCCAATTTTGCTAGGTGGGTTTAAAGTTTTATAATACTTTTTCTAATAAAAAATAAAAATAATAAAAATAGACTCATGTTTTAAATAACATGACCAAGTTAATATTCTGAAATTAATTGAAATTATAGTATGGTTGGTTTATACTTAAAAATAAATCTATAAAAAAATCAAAATCTGAGATATTTCAACAAAAAACCATGCCATTAATTATAGTTTTTTTGAACTAGTATTACATTATTATTAAATTTTATATATAAAATATATATCTAAAATAATTTAATCAAAGTTATAGTTATATACTAATATTAATTAGTTTGAATAAAGGATAAGAAGTACTAATGATGTATAGATAAAGAAATGAGATATATAGTAATAGGATATATAGATACTCGAATAAAAGAATATAGTAAAAGAATAGGAATAGGAAATGAATAAGGTTTTGATAAGGGTTGAGAAAAAGCATTTGATGTCGTTCAGAGGTGGAAGAGGCGGAAATAGAGGTGGACGTGGTGGAAGAAGCGATTTCCATAACAGAGATCAAGCACCACAAGGTGCTTTTATTCCATTTGGGAAGTATTTGCACTCAGCAGAAAACATTCTGATTTTCAAAGCAACATCGCTTGAGAAATACCCTGCATTCAATGCTATTGTTTTCAATGAATCGAAGAAAGAGCTTGGAAAGGTTGGTGAAGTGTTTGGGCCACTTGATGATTACTACTTTTCAGTTGTCCCAGCTGAAGGCGTCAAGGCTGATGGATTCAAACAAGATGACCCAATCTTCCTGTACGACGACAAATTGTTCACAACAGAGAGATTGAAAAACCCACCACCACCACGAAGAGGCGGTGCGCCACGTGGCGGCAGAGGAGGAGGAAGAGGCGGATTCTCATCACGCGGAGGAAGCGGATTTGGGAATAGAGGCGGTCGTGGTGGCAGAGGCGGATTTGGTGATCGCAATGGCAGTGACAGAAGCAGCGGATTTGGAGGCAGAGGCGGAAGAGGTGGATTTGGAAACCGAGACTCTCGCCCAAGAGACTCGAATCGTGGTGGACACTAAAAGTGACAGGAGACATTATGTGACTGAGAGTTTTATTGATTTCATGTTGGGGATATGCGACCACAAAGAAGCGTCTTATGGCAATTCATGTGCTCGAAATCCCTACATCATTTCCTTCTTTTTTTTATTAAAATAACACTCTTACCATCCCTTTTGGTATCTTTTTTCAAACAACAATTTTTAATTAATTATAATAAAACTACTTTTTATACTATTTTTCACTTCCTTTGTAACAAATTCTCTTCATCTCTGACAACCATTTTTAATCTCATTCATTTCTTATGTTTTTAATAATTTTTTTTTCAATAAAAAAAATGTTTATTTTGTAATCAATGAAAATGGTCTAAATAATGTCCAGAGCAAACATATTACAGTCCTTCGTCCATATAATTATTAATTACATTGATTTAAGCAACATAATTGAAGTATTTGGGGAATAATTAATTCACTTCACTAAAAAAAACTTTGAATTTTTTAATCTTTTAAAAAAAATACTTTGAAAATATTAAAAAGGAACGAAAAACTTTAAAACTGAAAAACAGACAATGAGGTGGGTCGAAGTTGTCAGTTACTTTCTTTTTGTGTTTATCTTTGTGACCGCGGTGATGTCTGTTTTTTATTTGGACACAAAACCTTACCAAATGCTGCTTTTAATAATACCAGCAATCCTTTGTTTATTCATCCCGAAATTCCAGAGTCCGTTCAGTTTTCCTTTACAAATGAGTATGCTCACTCCACGAGTCGCCAAAAATTTGTTCCAGCACCTTCGTTCAAATATTTTGCCACGAAACGACTTTTTGCGACTGACACATTGGGCAACAGTGATTCTTAGAACTCGTCCTTCTTTAGTGTATTTACCGCCACACCCAGGAACGCTTATTGTTGGAGATTTACATGGACAATATAATGATTTATTCCGCGTGATTGGTGGTGGTATTTCAAAGCAAATAGTATTCAATGGCGATTTTGTAGATCGTGGGTATCAAGGAATAGAAGTCATTACCGCATTGATGGCAGCACTCTGCTCTGCCCCAGACAAAGTTTTTCTTTCAAGAGGAAACCATGAAGACCCCGACCTTCACATCTTATACGGGTTTAGAGCAGAAGCGTTTTCCAAATACGATCCTGAGACATATGGCTGCATTTGCGAATTCTTTAGAGCACTTCCATATGCACATGTTATTGGGAATTCTATATTTGTCGTCCATGGGGGACTTGCGCCAACGCCATTCACTTTAAAGGATGTTGTAGCTTTGCCGCGTGTTGAAAATTTCATGCAAAATGCAGATGTTCCTGAGCTTGCGCAGAACTTGTTGTGGTCTGATCCGATGAACGGGAATGGATGGGTGCCATCCATTCGAGGAATTGGGTGCAAATTTGGGACTGATATTACAAAACGGTTTTTGGATGCAAACAACCTCGATTTAATCATTCGAAGTCACGAAGTGAAGATGAAAGGATATGAATATGCATGTGAAGGGAGGGTGTTAACTGTATTTAGTGCGGGGAGGTATGGAGGAGGTCCGAATTCAGCTGCGATAGTTGATGTCAATTTTGATGGAGGGATGAAAGGGCCAAGCGTTAACGTCATGTTACTTCCAAATGGAGCGTTACCACCCATCACCGATGAAACGGTGCAAGTGGTTCTATCGTTACTTGTTGTGACATTCATAGTGGTTGTGGATTATTTGATCATCTTATTGTCGTAAAATGGTGTGTTAAACAATAGTTTTTAAGTTGTTTATTTCGAGTTCAAGTATGATTTATTCGACTTAAAAAAAGTAGATGAAGATGAAATAGAGATGATAAAAACAAAGTTAGTACCGACACATTAGAATAATGAAGAAAGTCGGGTAATGTCGTAAGCAAATAACAAAAGTTGTATAACAAGAAAAGTAAATAAGTTGTGTGTCACTGAAAGTCGACACTTTTTGTTATTGGTAAAAATAGATACAATAAAACATTGAAAAAGAAGGGAAATGTGCGCAACATAATGGGAAAACACCTATAACAAGCCATCATACGAAATTTGAGGTATTTTTTATTAAACATACACATTATAGATAAGTCGAAAGAAAACAATTTGAAAATTCGGAGTTTTAAGCGAAAGAAGCGGGTCTTCCTTCCGCGAATCGGGTGAATGTGACAAAATATTTTGAAAAAGCAAAAACAGCACTTCAAAAACGATGAATCGGAACTCAAAAAAAGGAAGGGATGACTATAAATCCTGATGAAACGGAAACGATTAGAGTAATGGATATGGAACTGGAAATGTGGAGTTGTGTTTTTAAAAAAAAATCGAGAAAACAAACCAAAATAACTTGGGGAAAAAGGGTTGATCAAATTAGAAACGAAAATCATTTCATCATTGTCAAATATGAGTACCAATCCCCCACTTAACGGCTCAGTCTCTTCCCTTTCATCCGGTCAAGGAATGTATCAAACGTTTCAATCAGTTCAACCACCACCTTCACTGCAATACCAACAACAGTACCAACAACAATACTCACAACAAGTATATCGTCCTCCTTATCAACAATACCAACAAAACCAACTCCAACAAATTCCACAACAAACACAAGTCCAAAGAGGAATACAAACACCACAAAGCACATTACAACAACCACCACCCGCACCACAACCACCTCAACAATTAAAACAAAAGGCCGTTCAACCTCAAATCAAACCTCAACAACAATGGAGAGATCAAAGCCCACAAATGCAACAGCCACCAAGGCAACTTCAAGCTCAACTCCAACCACAACAAATTCCAAATCAAGTCCAAAGTCAACAAGGACAACCTCAGGCACAATGGAGAGATCAACAGGCGCAACCATCTCAATCACAACAAACAAGACCACAACAAGGGTCACAACAAAGCGATATGTATTATTTACAAAACATGATTAAACAATATTTTCAATTTTACTACGACGATGACACAATTGTGAGAGAGTTAATGAAGAAAAGCGTGCCACAAGACACGACGCGATATATTCTCGCGAAAATGCGAGAACAAAATCCTGAATATTTCAAAGCATATGAAATCAGATTGACGATTAAAGGTTTGTTCTTCTAATGTGTTATGTAAATGGCATTTACGATGGATTAATCAATTAATTATTTAATTAATTGTAATTAATACAATGTCACACTTTGATCAATTGTATTTATATAAATAACAAAAAGACCAAATAGATCGATTTAATAAACTAATACAACACCACCAATTAGTGAACGGAGCAGGTGAAATGCCCCAACAACAACAACAATTGGAAACGGACTATCAAAAACAACAATATCAACAACAACAACAACAAATGTATCAAGATTATCCATGTGCAAATTCAAGTTGCCTTGGGTTTCTACAACAAAGTGAACAACAGTCACAGAGTGGGTTTTAGTCCGAGAGTGTGTTATTCAGATGGAGTATGTTTCACAGCAAACTCTCCTTCTTGTGAAATGTAATTCAGTCTTTCGATTTGTGTTTTTGGGAATTTGATATTTGACGAATAAAATGAACTCTAAGAATGTTATGTGGATTATTAGGGTTCTTAGAGTTTTTTGATAAACTCGTAATTTCAATGGAATTCAATTTTAACAATTTACAGTTCGGAACGAACACCCAACCGTTAACGGATCAATCAACAACCCCATCCGTCCAAAATACGTTTGTGCCAATATCGATGGACTCATTCAAATTTGGAAACATTGGAAATCAGCCAACTACTTTACCACAAATTTTTACAGGAGAAGCCGCACAACCACAAAAGAAGGAAGAAGAAAAAAAGTCATTGAAGATAAAAAAGACCGGGAAGAAGTCATAGAATTGGCTCTTGATTCAATAAACATCAAAGGAGCTTACAAACTCGACCCAATAAAACACAAAAGTACATCGACGTTTTGAAAGGCATGGGTGTCGAAGAATGCCCGATACAACGAGGCGTATTTCGAGAGTTAAACAATTTCAAACGTAGTA